GATGCAGTTGTAAATGGGATAGTTGTTTTTATTTCTCTTTCTGATAGTTCATTATTAGTATATAGAAATGCAATAGATTTTTGTATATTGATTTTCTCTTCCTGCAACTTTATTGAATTTGTTTATTATAACAGAGGGAGGAACTCTTCCAAACTTATTTTATGAGGGCAGAATTACCCTGATACTAAAACCAGACAAGGATGCCACAAGAAAATTAGAGGCCAGTATCCCTGATGAACATAGATGCAAAAATACTGAACAAAATATTAGGAAACCTAAGTCAACAATACATTAAAAGGATCATACATTGTGATCAAGTGGGATTTATTCCACGGTTGCAGGCATAGTTCAACATCTGCAAATCAGTCAGTGTGATACCCCACATCATCAAAATGAAGGATAAAAATTATACGATCATTTCAATAGATGCAGAAAAAACATTTGCCAAAATTCAACGTCCATTTATGATAAAAACTCCACAAATTATATATATAGAAGAAATGTACCTAAACATGATAAAGCCCATAAATGCCAAGCCTACAACTAACATCATACTCCATGGTGAAAAGCTGAAAACTTTTCCTTTAAGATCAGGAACAAGACAAGGATGTCCACTGTCACCACTTTTATTCAACATAGTACTAGAAGTCCTAGCCACAGCACTCACACAAGAAAAAGAAATAAAAGGTATTGAAATTGGAAAGGAAGAAGTAAAACTGTCCCTATTTGCAGATGAGATGGTATTATATATAGAAAACTCTATAAAGTCTCCATCAAAAAACTGAATAAATTCAGTAAAGTTGCAAGGTATAAAATCTATCTACAAAAATCTGTTGTGTTTCTGTACACCTCACATTTAAAACAGGGGTAATGGTTCATTCTCATAGGTTTGCTGTGATGATTAAACGAGAAGGGTACCTATAAAGCCTTGACTACAGAGTCTGGTCCAGAGTAAATTGTCCAGGGTTGGAAGCTGCTATTACTTTTCAGGGCATGTAATCTTAAGTCAGAGGTGTTGAGGGACATGAAGCACATTGTAAGCTTTAAAGTGAGACGCAAGTGCCATGTGTGATTATATTCTTGGAACTCTTCAGGACATGGGTTCTTCTACCTTCAGAGGAGTTCTGAGGGAAGCCAGGTATTCCTTGGGATAAGGTGCTGTTCTGTTTACCTTTTGACCTTTTTATTCTTCAAGTTCCTTTTCAGTTTCTGCCTGGCTTCCTGGGGCAGTGAGCGCAGCTCAAGGGGGAGGGTACTCCTCAGGTGGTGCAGAATCTCAGGGGAAGTTCTGGTGATACAGGTGTGGTTGGGCCTTAATTTAGCTCTGGTTTTGCTTAGGTCTTGGTGGCCTGTTGGTAGTAGGGGTCATTGGAGATGTGGACATGGCTCCAGGGGAGGCCTGGGTCCATGTTTCTGGCACAAGGTACCTTGGCAGACTTTCTTCTTGACCTCAGAGCCAAAGACTCATAGAGCTGTAGTTTGGTAACGTCAGCATAGGCCATGAAATGAACCACCACTAATGGTTCCTGGGTGCTCATTGCAGGCAGGGCCGTCTGCTGAGTGCTCTATATACTTTCTTACTGAGACCTCAGGACCCTCAGGGGTCGGTACTATTATTGTCTTCTTTTCGCACTTGAGGAAATTGAGACTTAAAAAGTAGTTTGCCAAGGGTCATGTTTCTGGTAAGTACATTTGGATCCTGGTCTTTCTCATTCTGATGGTTTGAGCTCTTTTTGTTGTTCTAAGTGCATGAGAGTCACCTGTGAAGTTCATTGAAATTCCTGTAGGTTTGAGGTTTTTTGTTTTCTGTAGTCTGTTTCCCCTGATTTATTGAGGTATAATTGACATAAGATAAAATTCACCCATTTTAAGTGTCTGGTTTGATGAAACAGTACTTGTATACAGTCACCTAAATATCACTGTGCTCAAGATGTGGAACATTTCTGTAACCCTGAGAAGTTTCACTGTCCCTTTTGACCCCGTGATGTGTACAGTTTTAACCATCTAGGCAGATGGTTCTAACGCGCGGGGAGGTGTGGGACCGCTGTACTGGGTTATGGTGCGTGCAAATGTGAGAAACTGAATGCCTGTAGAAGGAGGGTAAAAGTGATAAAAGAAAAAAGATACTTAAAAGAATGGATGGCTTATCAAAAAGAATGGAATCTTGCCATTAGCAGCGACGTGGATGGAACTAGAGGGTATTATGGTAAGCGAAATAAGTCAGAGAAAGACAATTATCATATGATCTCACTCGTATGTGGAATTTAAGAAAGAAGGCAGAGGATCATAGGGGAAGAGAGGAAAAAATAAAACAGGATGAAATCAGCGAGGGAGACAAACCCTAGGAGACTCTTAATCACAGGAAACAAACTGAGGGTTGCTGGAGGGGAGGTGGGTAGGGATGGGGTAACTGGGTGATGGACATTAAGGAGGGCACGTGATGGAATGAGCACTGGGTGTTATAGGCAACTGATGAACCACTGACCTCTGCCTCTGGAACCAATAATAAATTATATGTTAATTAATTGAATTTAAATTAAAAAATAAACTAGTTGGCTTTACTGTCTCTAGATAAGCTATGCTGTACTGGCTCCTTGGGGAGAGATGGAGTGTGGAGAAAAGAACTTTGTAGACCAAACCCAGTTAAAAACAAACAAAAAAACCAGTTTCTTTTACTAACATAGTTTCTTCCTGAGCCACATAAAGCTGAAGAATTCTGCACAGACTTGGTGTGGTTGGCTGGATTGATTGCTTTGGGATGGAGAGTTGGGGCCACTAGGTACTACTATTGGTAAACTGTGGAAGAAGCCTTGGGTGTGGGAAGGAGGGCTGGGAAGTGGGGGTCAGACACTACTGCTGGTCAGTCCAAGGATGGGACCTCTTCCTCCAGGCAGACACCTCTCTGGTTCCGTTGATTTTCCTCTGCCACAAAAATCCAGTTAGTATCTCTTCTTCATCTGAAGTTCAATCAGGAAAATTAGCCTAAAGCAAATGAGTTCAGGCTGTGGCCCGGAGAACATTTGGATAATAAAGTAGAGAATGGAAAATGTAGCTCTGAAATGAGAGACGATTAGGGCGGAACTTTGTGTGAGGAATCCGGAGACTTCGATTCTCGACTCAGCTCTGTCCCTGGTTTTGCTCGATGAACTTCCCTGAGTGTTCTCTGTTCCCGGTACCTCCATGGATAGAGCGAGTGGTTAATAAAGTGTGTAAGTGGTAGTATGGTTTCAGCACAGACACTGTAGTGACACTGGTTAGGTTAGCACAGCTAAAGTAGGTTGTGAAGGCAATGCTATAAAATTTTTATACTGGCTGTCAAATAAAATCTGTATATTCTCAGCCTTAAGTAGTTCCTTTTCTGACCTTTTCCTTTTCTCTCTGGTTTGTTAGATGTGACATTTCCCCCCCTTTCCTGTATGGTGAAGTGGTGAATGAGGGTATAAAGTCATAAAAGAGAGACTTATCTTAGTCTCATGTCCCTTTTATGAATCACCCAGTTGTCTTCCTGGTGGATGTCTGCACTCTGGCACGGATTCTGGGATTCAGTTTCCTTATTTGTGGTGTTTGGCTTCTCCTGGTCCCTGTGAATCACCTCAAGAGGAAATAGCTGGAGCAGAGCAATAAGGCTGATTAGAGGAGGAAGGGACAGAGAGAGAAAGATACGAGGGGTATTGTTGTGGAGAAGAAGTGGTGATCCAGGGCTGGCTGGAGGATGTAAATAAAATAACCCAGGCGTCTTCTCATTTGAGAGAGTTGGGGTAGTGCTCCCATCTCAGAGGACCCTGAGGGTCCGTGGGAGGTAATCTTTGAGAATAACACCCTGCCAGTTGGAGTTCAGGGAGGCTGTATAAAGTTTCAGTGACTCCTACTAGTTTCTGTTACCTCAGTGTCCCCCCACACCCTGTTCCACTGTTTCAAGGCTTTGTAGCAGTGAAGAAATTTAACAGGTCCCAATGATAATAGTCATGGATTTAATGATCATCTCTCCCACTTTCATCCTCCCTGAAGCCCCCCACAAAATATTAGAGGCCAGTAAAAACTTCTTCTTAAGCATTCTTACAGATGAACAAGAAAAATGGAGCATTTCAGACATTTTCAGAATCATGTGATTTTTAGAGCTGAAAGGACTCTGGACCGATCCTGTGTTATGGATGAAGGGCTGAGGTTCAGAGTAGGGAGAAGACTTGCTGAAGGTCACTCAGCTTGCCAGTGGTAGGTGGTATAGATCCTGAAAAGCCCAGGTATGACATGGATGGTTTGAGAAGAGATACTAATGTATGATTTTTGAGGCATTAAGGAAGCTTCTGAACCCATTTCTGTGGCTAACCAATCACCAGTGGCTGATTGCTTCTGTTTCCTCTGAGCCTCTTGGCTATGGCTGGGAGACACAGACTAGCCTTGTGCCTTCCCAAGATGATGCTTTAGAGTTAAGTAAGTCTAAATTGAGGCTCAGCAGCTGGAGATTACAGGGTATGAGAGATCTTTGGCTGGAGATGGGGGTTTGGTGGGAGACTTGCTAGTTGGAGCCACAGCTGAAGTTAAATTTCAGTGCTTTAGGAAGATATTTTAGGGTTGTGCTATGAAATTTGTGGTCTTTCAGTACGGTGTAGGGAAATCAATGTGTGCAGTATTCATTGTCATGCCTTTGCTGCAATAGTCTTTGGCCCCTTGAGGCAAAAGAGCGTTTGTTTCAGTTTCACCTCTGTCTCCTGTTCTCTTTATAAAATTTCTCTCCGCATTCTCAGTTCTATCCGGCTCTTTTTCCCCTAACTTCTCTCCATCTGTCAGACTCTCAGAGCTACCGTAGATTTTGTGAGGCGGAATTGGAACGTGAGCTGTGACCTACAAGCCAATTTCCCCAGGTGGATAAACTCCACTACAAGCCACAGAGGGGCCTCCTCATTCCAGCGATCTGGCCGGGCTGACGGACTTGTAGCCTATGGGGGCTGGGGAGGGGGCGGGGGCCAGTATTTCTTGGGCTGGTGAGGAACTGCCTGAACCTTTGCAGGATGGGCGCGGGAGGCGGGAGCCCCCGGGGTGGGCTAGTCGCCTGAGCTGGGGATGCCTGGGCAGATGTGGAGGCAGCTCGAAAGGTGGCACCGCACTTGGGTCGCTGGAGCTGCGCTGTTCCTAGGAGACCGAGGAGCAGCAAGCCTGCGGGGGAGGGGGAGCAAGTGGGTTGCTGCTTTTAGCTGCTGAAAGGGCTGCAGGGAGCTCTGGGTAAGACATTTTCTGCTGCTGCTGCTTCTGCGGTAGAAGCTGCTGGGAGTAAGTCAGAGGAAGGAGGATCGAGAGGGAGGAGGCTTCGTTTGCAGCCATGCTGAATCACTGTTGCTGATCAGATCTCCTGTTGGTTGGCCAGGAGATCCGAGAACAGAGCTAGGATCTCCGGGTGCATGCACAGTTCAGCGGCTGCCACCCTGGCTGGGCCTCGCACAATGGAGGGTGAAAGGTATGTATGTATTAAATGTGTGTTGGTGTGTGTGTGTGTGTGTGTGTGTGTGTGTGTGTGTGTGTGTGAACGTGTGCTTGTGGTGCAGCTTCCAGCTTTTGTATCTGCATTGGCGAGGCAGGGTCGGAAGACCTGGCCACTGATGTATCCCAGTGGGTGGCAAAGTCAGAGCAGGGAAGCCCCCTTTTCCAGAGATCTGGCTTCTGCCAAGGCAAGCCTGGGTTTGCTGGGCATTGGAGCCCCCTGAAAGAAGGGACTTCCTGGCTGGTGTTTGGGAATAGTTTTGCATGGGCTGGATCAGGATTGCCTTTCTCAGGCTGTTTCAAGGAGGCGTTTCCCTTTCTTGGGTACTTTCTGGGGGTGGTTTTTCTTTGGTGGGGGTTCCTGATGTCACAGCAGGGCTGGCCTGGCATGGACGGCTTACATTTTCACACCGGGGTTCTCAAATCTTAAGCGTGCTGTGCTCATGTCTATCCTAAAAGGATGTGTGTGTGTGTGTGCCTGTACACACGCACAAGTTCAAATAAGAAGGAGAGAAACCCATTCAGATGACACTTGCTCTGAACTGACTTTCATTTTCATTGAAAAGTTTATGAATGATCCTGGAATGTATGTGCTTTAGAGGAACTCTTGCTCCTTCTGTCAGGGATTCCTTATGAAATAGGAAATCCAGAGAAGGGAATTTAAGTACTTCTGCTGAGCTGGATCTAACTAGCAAGAGTTTATTTTCTGGCAGGCACGTGCATGTATGTTTTAAACTATTATCTGAGGGACCTGATTCTTTTATTTTGGAGCTGCTTGATGCAGTGTGGGGGCGGGTCATTCCTCTGTGCTAAAACGTCTCCTCCTGTTGTGTCAGCCTCTTCCTTCTGTGCGTCTGTGGCTGGTGGAGAACAAGGCTTGCCATTTTCCTTGAGGTGGGGCGATGGCAGGAGGCATTAGGCAGGGAGGGGTCAGGTGAGGCAGTGCACCACTGCGGGGGGGGGGCGCTGCTCTGAGTGGCCAGTTTTGATGCAGATGATAACTGGCTGGTGAAATGATGACTGTTCACCTAACTCAGCATACTTTCCTTTGCACATACTGTCCCGACGTCTGCATCTCACGGGGCAGGGTGATGCCATTAAACATCTCTAGACCCTGTTAGAATTGGTGCGGTGGTTGGGTGTCTTCCTGTCTGAAGAGGCCCCAGAGACTGCGTTTCTTGCTGTGACTCCCACAGGAAGAGTCTGGGACTTTAGTCTGAGTGTGCTGCAGATGTAGCTTTTCCCTCAGTGCTGTCTGCAACAGGAGCTTAGATGTTGGACTCCATTTGACCTGCTGGGCAGCAGAGCATCTGGAGCCCTGTCTCCTAGGCTGGGCACAGAGGTGCGTAGTGTCTTCACCTCCTGTTGGTCTGATAAGCTAGCAGAAGGGCAGGGGTGATGTGAATGGCGCTTTAGAGATTCTGGATCAGGCTGATTCTGCCACACCGGTGGCATGTCGGGCCTGAAAGGTCCTTGTGAGTCGAGCAGCAGCAGATCAGAGTACTGCTTCCTGAGCATTTTGGGGCATCTACTGTGTTCCTGTTCTCTTTTCAGAAATGTAATGAGCCTTTGCCCTCTAGGAGATCTCTTGTTTTTCGACACTCTGGTGCCTCTCTGCTGGGATGGCTGATGTCCTGGCCTTTATGACCCCTGGATTTTGTTTTTCCCTTACTGGAGGCAGAGAGTAGGCAAGCAATCCAAACTGAGCAGCTTCCAGTGTTTACCACGTCACCCATCTCGCTACCTTTTGTTCCCAGCTTGCCATGTCAGGCATTCACGTCTTCTGAAATCTGGCCCCGTCTGCATTCCCTCTGCTCACCCATACCCCCACCGAGTGATGTTCTGGTCTCTTTTGTGACCACACATCCTGTATACTACTCTATCTGGTCCCAGATCCTTTGTTCCTGGAATTCCTTTTACCTGGAATGCCTTTCCCTTCTTCTTTTCCAAAAGTTATCCATCTAACAAGGCTGTTATTTAAAACCCTACTTTGTGTTGATAACCTCAGCTTTTCTAGTTTGAGGTGATGTTCTTCTGAATTCTAGTCTCTCCAGTTTGTAGCCATAGTCGGATGCTGAATCATAGCCCTCCTCCCCGCCCCCGATGTTTTTCTGCTTTTGTTTCGTATCTTGCAAGTCCCCAGACTCAGAGACAGGTCCTCAAGGTTAAGGACCGTGCCCGTACCTCTGAATACTCCTTACTCATTGCGTTGCGGCTGCATGCATAGTAGGTGCCGCATAATTATTTGGCAATTAGCTGATAACTTTTGAGGGGAAAGTCTGAGAACTAAGAAGAAAGTTGGTGAGAGATGAGATTGAAACCTTTGGCCAATAGGTTCATCTCTGGCTATCGGCCTTATTATCTCAGCACGGGTCATTGACCCTGTGGAATGCTTTGTAGGCGGAGAACAGGGGAAGCGGCCTTGTTTTACAAGTTCCCTGGGAAACCCAGACTCCCCCCCCCCCCCCCCCCACCCCAGAAGCTGAGGGACTGGCCTAGGATCACATGTCAAACCTCCAGCGACTGGAGGAATCCTGAATCTGTGCTTGTTCCACACTTAACCTGCTGCAGCTTAATTGGGGCTGTTTTTAAGCATTAACATTTTTCAGCCAAGAGATTTTTAACGAACAATTTTCTTTCTTTGCCACGAGGGTATGAAAATAACTTCTCCCTTCAAAGGCTCTTAATCGAAAGCATGGGATTTAGAATAACATAGACCTTGTCATGAATCTGCTTCATAAACCGTGTGACCTTGAGTGTGTCACACTGTTTCACAAATAATTTTTCTTTTTGGTATAAAGGGAGTAATAACAGTATCTCTCACGGAGTTGTTGTCATGATCAAATGAGGTAATATGTAGAAAGCATCTAGTAAAATTTTTGTGGCACAGACTACCAGGTAAATGGTACTTGTTATCTCTGGTGTTCATCCCTTGCCCTCTTGTACCCCATGACTTGTGCTGGGATTCTAACTGAAGCTTATTTTAAGGACTTTCTATATTTATCATCTGAAGCAGACTACATGGGACTCTTCCCATGAGAAAATTGGGGAGAGCTTATCAGGCCCATTCTCTTGCTTCTACCTGAATCATCCATCTCCTCATAGTGAGATACCACATGGGGCTTGTCCTCTGCTAGGTTTCCCCCGGCACCTACTTTAATCCTCCTTTTTATAGACATCCTGAGGCATCTGGATGGCTTAGCAGTTTGGAATCATGAACCAGATATACTTTTGTTCAGCCAAAATCTCAAGAAGAGCCTATGAATTTGCTCTCACCTTTGCTATATCCCCCAAGCCGTCCGGCTCTCTAAAGAACCTGCTGATGCTAGGATTGCCATCTCCCTTTGTGAAGAATCAGTGTTTCTTCATCAGTCAGAGGAAGATGACCCTGCCTTCTGTTCTGTGAAGGAGAAGGGTCTCTGGCTCTCAGCTACTCCAGTGATAAATTGTGTGTGTATATGGGCCTCTGTGTTTGTAGAGCAGATAGTGAAAATGGCAAGTGCTGTTGCCATTAGGATTTTATTTCTGTTCTCGAAATCAGCCTTGTGGGCTAAGCAGCCTTATTTATACTCCAGAGATGGATGGTGGTGATAGTTGCACAACAGCATGAATGTACTTAATGCCACTGAACTATACATTTAAAAGTGGTTAAAGTGGAAAATGTCATGTTATGTATATTGCCACAATTAAAAAAAATTTTTTTCCAGGGGTGCCTGGCTGGCTCGGTTGGTAGAGCATGCGACTCTTGATCTCGGGGTTATGAGTTTGGGCCCCCCATTGGGTGTAGAGATTACTTAAAAATAAAATCTTAAAAAATATTTTTTTCCAGGCTCATATCTGCAAGACTTGCAGAGAACAACAACTTTGGGAAGAAGCATCATAAAAAGGGGGAGTTAGTTGTCCATTTTTCTTAAAATTGTGGTTTTCTTCATCAGAAGCGATGGGGTGCACCTGCTTGAGAGGGGCACCGTGCGCCCAGCACTATGACATGATTTGGTGGGAGCAGTTCCCAGGAGAATGGTTCATCCTTACTAAGGAGAACTTGTTCTGGACTTCAGGGAGCTTCAGAGCCAGAAGAGCTTTTTTCCCACCCTTGATCGATGAAGAGAAAGATCGTATTTCTTGAGAAGACATGACTTAGCTGATATTCTCCAAACGCTGAGTTTTGCATTGCCAGGTAAAATGCTAGCAAGACCCAGGGAAGGGCCAGCCCTGAGCACTCTCACCTTTTCTCTCTTCCCCTGGCATGTCCTTGAGTCCTTTCCCGTCCCGAGTAGTCATGGATAGAAACTTGCGTAGACGTTTTTGGGCATCACTGCTGCCTGCAGCAGATGTGCATTTCAGCCATGGTAATTGAAACCAAATTTTCCATTCTGAAAATATTTATTGGCAAAGTAAGGTTTTTAACTGCAAAAAACAAAGTCAGTGAAGCCACTTGATTTCCCCATATCCAGATTTGGGTTTTCAGGATTTTGTTTGCTAGGTTTTAGATTGTTCAGACAGAGGCAGGCAAGAACATTTTGGGGTAAGTTTTCTAAAGTGAGTACTTTATTTGATGAAATTTGCCATTGTAGAAGTGACCTAGTTCTTTTCAGTTGCTGGATGAACCCTAAAACTAGGTTAGACTGAAAAGAGCATTAATAAACGATAATAAAATATAACTTGAACATATCTTATTCTTAGACTTCTTCCCGTTAAACAGGTTTAGTTGTTGTTAAGCTAGACATCTGTAACTTTTGATCATTTATGAGGATTTTCAAACTCTCAGCACAACTCTCCTGGACTTTTCTTTTTAACTTATGAAAATCTGTCATTGCCTCTATCAAAACCACACGCCTGGAAGAGCTCGGCTCTCCTGTTCAACCCGAGTAGAAGCTTGGCTCCCCAAATGCCACATAACAAGGGGTGTTTTTCTCTTAGTCTTCCTCTCTCTTTGTCTCATTCTGTCTGAACACAAGTGTTTCTCTTGTGTTTTAC